CTTACCTAACAACCTGTCGGTATTGTATACCATTTTGATGTTCAAATAGCCACCTTTACCCAGGTAGATAAATCAGTTTGTGACTTGATAAAACCCACTGTGTGGGCAAAACGTAGTCTAATAAAGGATGACATTATACTGCATCTATGTCAGTTTTTTCCATCATGTCGGTATTTTATACCATTTATCTCCATGTTGTTATGGTAGTGCACACATTTGGGACTAAGTCTTTAATCATCTTCCATGTGCGTATTTTCACGCATCTCTGTCGCCTTCTTGTAAGTTTATTCAGGCACAAGTAAATCAAATACAATTACATAAATTATTATACATAGTAACATATGTGCAGATTAATTAGAATAACCCCCAAAAAATCAGTGTAATATCTATGTAATATCCTATTATTTAGACTATAAAAGTTAAAACAGCCAGAGAGTAAGCTACATGGACGTCAGTAAGAACCAGTATTTAACTAAAGGAACGTCAGTAATAAACAATATTTAACTAAAGGAACGTCAGTAAGAAACAATATTTAACTAAAGGAACGTCAGTAAGAAACAATATTTAACTAAAGAACGTCAGTAAGAAAACAATATTTAACTAAAGGAAACGTCAGTAAGAAACAATATTTAACTAAAGGAACGTCAGTAAGAAACAATATTTAACTAAAGGAACGTCAGTAAGAAACAATATTTAACTAAAGAAACGTCAGTAGGAAACAATATTTAACTAAAGGAACGTCAGTAAGAAACAATATTTAACTAAAGGAACGTCAGTAAGAAACAATATTTAACTAAAGGAACGTCAGTAAGAAACAATATTTAACTAAAGGAACGTCAGTAAGAAACAATATTTAACTAAAGGAACGTCATAAGAACAATATTTAACTAAGGACTCAGTAGAACAATATTTAACTAAAGGAACGTCAGTAAGAAACAATATTTAACTAAAGGAACGTCAGTAAGAAACAATATTTAACTAAAGGAACGTCAGTAAGAAACAATATTTAACTAAAGGAACGTCAGTAAGAAACAATATTTAACTAAAGGAACGTCAGTAAGAAACAATATTTAACTAAAGGAACATCAGTAAGAAACAATATTTAACTAAAGGAACATCAGTAAGAAACAATATTTAACTAAAGGAACGTCAGTAAGAAACAATATTTAACTAAGGAACTCAGTAAGAAACAATATTTAACTAAAGGAACGTCAGTAAGAAACAATATTTAACTAAAGGAACGTCAGTAATAAACAATATTTAACTAATGGAACATCAGTAAGAAACAATATTTAACTAAAGGAACGTCAGTAAGAAACAATATTTAACTAAAGGAACGTCAGTAAGAAACAATATTTAACTAAAGGAACATCAGTAAGAAACAATATTTAACTAAAGGAACGTCAGTAATAAACAATATTTAACTAAAGGAACGTCACTAAGAAACAATATTTAACTAAAGGAACGTCAGTAATAAACAATATTTAACTAAAGGAACGTCAGTAATAAACAATATTTAACTAAAGGAACGTCAGTAATAAACAATATTTAACTAAAGGAACGTCAGTAATAAACAATATTTAACTAAAGGAACGTCAGTAATAAAACAATATTTAACTAAAGGAACGTCAGTAAGAAACAATATTTAACTAAAGGAACGTCAGTAATAAACAATATTTAACTAAAGGAACGTCAGTAAGAAACAATATTTAACTAAAGGAACGTCAGTAATAAACAATATTTAACTAAAGGAACGTCAGTAATAAACAACATTTAACTAAAGGAACGTCAGTAATAAACAATATTTAACTAAAGGAACGTCAGTAAGAAACTATATTTAACTAAAGGAACGTCAGTAAGAAACAATATTTAACTAAAGAAACGTCAGTAAGAAACAATATTTAACTAAAGGAACGTCAGTAATAAACAATATTTAACTAAAGGAACGTCAGTAATAAACAACATTTAACTAAAGGAACGTCAGTAATAAACAATATTTAACTAAAGGAACGTCAGTAAGAACGTCAGTAATAAACAATATTTAACTAAAGGAACATCAGTAAGAAACAATATTTAACTAAAGGAACGTCAGTAAGAAACAATATTTAACTAAAGGAACATCAGTAAGAAACAATATTTAACTAAAGAACGTCAGTAAGAAACAATATTTAACTAAAGAACGTCAGTAATAAACAATATTTAACTAAAGGAACGTCAGTAATAAACAATATTTAACTAAAGGAACGTCAATAAGAAACAATATTTAACTAAAGGAACGTCAGTAAGAAACAATATTTAACTAAAGGAACGTCAGTAAGAAACAATATTTAACTAAAGGAACATCAGTAAGAAACAATATTTAACTAAAGAACGTCAGTAAGAAACAATATTTAACTAAAGAACGTCAGTAATAAACAATATTTAACTAAAGGAACGTCAGTAAGAAACAATATTTAACTAAAGAACGTCAGTAAGAAACAATATTTAACTAAAGGAACGTCAGTAAGAAACAATATTTAACTAAAGGAACGTCAGTAATAAACAATATTTAACTAAAGGAACGTCAGTAATAAACAATATTTAACTAAAGGAACGTCAGTAATAAACAATATTTAACTAAAGGAACGTCAGTAATAAACAATATTTAACTAAAGGAACGTCAGTAATAAACAGTATTTAGTTGAATTTTAAAGTTTCTCTAATGTTTTCTGTGATTATGACTAGGTCAATAAAATTATAATGAACTATGTTGATATGTTGGTATCCCCCCTCACAGGACTGATATCCCCCTCACAGGAATGGTATCCTTCCTCAAAGGATTGGTATCCTTCCTTACAGGATTGGTGTACCTCTCACAGGATTGGTATTCCCCCTCACAGGACTGGTATCCTTCCTCACAGGATTGGTATCCAACGTCACAGGATTGGTATCCTTCCTCACAGGATTGGTATCCCTCTCACAGGATTGGAATCCTTCCTCACAGGACTGGTCTCCCTCTTACAGGAGTGGTAGCCAACGTCACAGGACTCACATCCCCTCACATGATTGGTATCCCTCTCACAGGACTGGTATCCCTCTCACATGATTGGTATCCCTCTCACAGGACTGGTATCCCTCTCACATGATTGGTATCCCCCTCACACGACTGGTATCCCTCTCACATGATTGGTATCCCCCTCACAGAACTGGTATCCCCCTCACAGGATTGGTATACCCCCTCACTGGCTAGCTGCAGGACGGGTTGCTGGGAGACATCAGTGCAAATAGTACACAGTTGCCAGCTCTTCAAATGTGACAAGGTTATATACACCCAAAGTTGTATGTCTCTGCGTATATACACTGAAAGTATACATGTCTCCCTAGCCTAAGGATTATATCGTTGGCTGCTAGGAAAAAGGTTATATTCAGCCTTAAAATTTCAATTAACCAAGCAAGTAAAGGCAACATTGCTTATATAAACACAAGCCGTTTTTTATCCTCTTTATGTAAGTTGGCTACTGTGGTTCACAGCAAAAATAGCTGTGATTCCCACGTGCCTTGTTAAAAACCAGGTAAGACCTGCTTACCATGGGCAAGTAGGCCTGCTGCAATGCTCTTTTTTTACGTAAAATCATTTAATAGTGAACACTAGGATACATCATTTTAAATTAAAAACTACGGTGAACAATTTTAAATTCAACACAAGAGGAAATTTTAAATTAAACTTTAGGGGATACTATTTTAAATCGAAAGGTTTATATACGCAAGATACTGGAAAGGTCAGTGTTGCACGTCTCAAGAATTGGCAGCTGTACTACCCTCTTACACATGTGCAGTTGTCATAAGATTATACAGACAGGTAATCGTACTCATGTGCAGTTGTCCCTCAGATTACAAATATTAATTAAACCTTATCTATAAACAGTTTTCCATAAGATTGCACTTGTAATCTCACACAAATGCAATCTCCACAAGATCACACACACCCACACATGCAAATTTCCACTAGACTACAAGTGCATGTAATCCACGTGTGCAGTGTTTCCGTTGCCTCAGGCATCACTTGAACAGTTCTTCCGTTGCCTCAGGCATCACTTGAACAGTTCTTCCGTTGCCTCAGGCATCACTTGAACAATCTTACTGAAGTGGAACCGTCCACCTCGCTACATTCCCAGATCTGGAAGCCGGAGCTACCAACGTAGAACAGAAAACCCACATAGTGCAGCGCCGCAGTTATCTCTGCTTGCTACATAGTTGGCAAGCCTCAGGGGCCACCACCACAGCAGTAATTTTCACTCAAAACTTTAAGGATTTCTCGCCAAGACAATACAACCCTGGAGAATTAGACGAGGTGAACTGATTACCTCATCTTTTGTACATAGTTCTACTGTCTTCCCATTATATCCTTGAATTTGTATTGATAAAAACCACTGGACTGCGAAACGTCTACAAATAAAGATACTCAGATGTTGCACGTGTCTAATTTTTCATCTTATCAGTATACCATACACATACAACACAATACAACCATATATGTACACTAGGCATTTGCATTTACTTTAGGGACTATGCGTGTTCCTAAAAAAAATTAAGTAATGTATTTCATACACAAAATACTATTAATTTAAAAAATTATAAGAACTTACATGTTATGTGCACATAATATTATGGAAATTTAACCTAGTATACCCCAAAAGACGATAGGCTTTTAATCTAGCAAACAAATAATATAAAAAAGTACATTATCTACCCGGCGATAAGTATACAACACAAATTTACGGTTATTATATATCATCAAATCAATAAAATAAAAAGTTTTAGAGCATTTTACTACCAGTTGGTTGGCACTTCTCAAATATTTCTCCATCTTGGAAAAACATCGTGAATGCCCCTGAACCTTCCATTATAAATTTTCTCCCTGACACCGGATTACATAACCGGTTTCCAGGAGCGCATTAACACGAGAAACATTTAAAGACTTACATTTAAGTGGCTGCACACAAAGGAAGAAATGATCTTACCTGACGAAGGCGCGGTTATCTGGGGGATGATACCAGGTGTAATATTTACACAGCTGTTGTAGATGTAGCCACTACAGGTGCTAAATACCCATCACAGCACCTGTAGCTCATTCCCCATCTACTAATGGGGGCAAGGCGTGTATGGGTAGGAGGAGTCGTTAGCCCAGGGCCAGTAGCCGACTCCCCCTATATCTAACCCATTTTGCTCTCTTGTTTTCATCAAAAAACGATAATAGCTCTCATGTTATGAGGCCAGAGCGCAGATGTGGTGGGGTTCAAGCCAGGTATTACCACACCTGGACGAGGGTTCCTAGAAAGTGCTTGTTTCACTCGTCACTATAAACTAATTGTTCTAATCGTTATTAAGACTGCTAAGTTACTCACCAGAGCCAGCTTATTCTGTATGCCAGTAGTGCTTGCTCACTTTATGTTGGCAGCGCTTGCTAAATTATTTTGTCAGTTGTGCTTGCTTATTATATCATTTGTGCTTGCTTATTTTATATTATGTCAGTTGTGCTTGCTTATTTTATATTATGTCAGTTGTGCTTGTTATTTATTTTTATGTTAGTAGTGCTTATTTTGTCAGTAGTACTTATTTATTTTGTCAGCTGTGCTCGCTTATTTTGTTAGTAGTGCTTGCTTATTTTTCTCACTTGTCACTAAAGCTGGCTTACTGTATATCAGCTGTGATTGCTTATTTTATATCACTTGACACTAAAGCTGGCTTATTTTGTCAATAGTGCTTGTTTATTTGTTCAATTGACACTAGAGCTGGCTTATTTTTTTCACTTTACACTAGAGCTGGCTTATTTTTTACACTTGATACCAGAGCTGGCTTATTTTTTTTCACTTTACACTAGAGCTGGCTTATTTTCTTCACTGAACAACCAAACATTTTTACAATTTGTTAAAAAGAGTTCTTGCTTGATTTGATCACTATCACTAGTGCTTGTTTAAGTCACTGCCTCGCCATATCTCGCTTCCTCTACTAGCCACGTAATCCATCAAACCTTCGTTAATTTCATTAAATCTCCTTGGCAACAGTTGTAACATTAGCACACAAACAGCAGCAGCAGCAGCGGTTGCGCGGTCGATGGTGACAGCTCTCGACTGCACCAACACACACTAACACTCACAGGAGCTATGTCTCGACCCCTGCAGCCACAAACAGGTGAGCATACACTCACTTCAAACCTTATCAAGGTTATTATAATAAAGGTTACCAGCTTTATGACGCAAGATCAAGGTCACATAATTAATTTTGAGTGAGTCACTACGTCAATATTTCTCCGCTGGTTAACGTCACTTACTCTGATTAATCCGAGCAACCTGTAAATATAAACGATTAATTTTAAACTTTTTATAAAAACGTTTTAGCACATATTTCTATTTTTTTTATTTCACACATTTAAAAAATATTAAAACTACAATAAAATCTAAGAGATAAGGTAGTATTTTAACTTTAAAATTATAGACTTTCAGTCAAAATATTTTAATTATATATATATATATATATATATATATATATATATATATATATATATATATATATATATATATATAATATATATACATATATATATATATATATATATATATATATATCAGTAATTTATTCATAACACAGTAAAGAGAGAGAAATTTAAATGCATGGTGAAGAGCTAAACTAGTAGGGATCATACAGCATCTGGTGAATGAGAGATAATCAGATATGATCCCAGGGATGGGCTCCTAAAATTCTTTGGATAAAGAATCTGTCAGCAAATAAATAACAAAAAGGCACAATACCGTGACTGAAACGATACACAAATAACCCGCACATAAAAGAGAGAAGCTTACGACGACGTTTCGGTCCGACTTGGACCAATGACAAAGTCACACTTTGTCAATGGTCCAAGTCGGACCGAAACGTCGTCGTAAGCTTCTCTCTTTTATGTGCGGGTTATTTGTGAATCTGTCAGCATTAACCTCCCCCCCCCCCCTCCCGCACCTCTCCTCCCGGGAGAGTTGAAGAGGCACCTAAGTTCCTCTGTCTTCCAATAACATATTAATTTTTCCACAACAAATCACCTTGTCCATAATTACTATCGCATTTGTTTTGTCTGCTTCATAAGGTGAAGTCCAGGATGTTTCCTTAATTCATGGTATAACTTAACAAATCTTTGATGACATTACGAGCGAAGCTCCGACCTCTACAACACAGGGATAAAATGAACGCTCAGTTAGGTTAGGTTAGGTAAGGTTCGTCAGGAAACAGGAGAAATGTTTCCTGACGCGGGTCTTAGTCAGATGATGACCCGCCTTTGGAGCTTTTGGTCATCTGACCGAGGCCTTCCGCTGGCTTACCGGTCCACCCCTTTAAAAATTATAGTCATTTATAAGCAGTCCGTCTATATACCTTAATAATGAACGCTCAGTGTATATACAAATATAGACATACATCTCTAGGTGTATATATCCTGCACATCGTGTAGAGAATATATTTTAAACCATTCAACCAATCAACCTTTGACATAATCGTCTGGTTGCTTGACATTTCTCAACCAATCCATAAACCCGTAACAATCTAACTGATTACACACCTACAGAAACTTGCCCAGTTTACTCGTAAATACAACTTTACCGCTTCTCTCTTAATCAATACTAAGGTGGGAGAATGTTTATAAGAGTGTCCTCACTGGTTGCAGCTCCTCTTGTTAGATACCTTAAGTCGATTTAAAGGAACTTTTCGAGAGGGGTTAACGCCCCTGTGGCCTGACCCTAGACCAAGTTGGACCAGGAATGATCAACCAGGTTGTCACTGCTGGCCGCACGCAGTTCAGCGTACTTCCGGCTGGTTAGGAAGTGACTTGACAAGTTCCCTCTTGGTAACGACCTGGGGTTTATTAGTACGTACTTTCCCTTATGTATATAAAGGGAGAGGGTATCCGCTGTTGGTAATTCCTCCTTATGTATGGGGGAGGATGTATCCGCTGTCGGTAATTCCCCCTTATGTATGAAGGGAAGGTGTATCCGCTGTTGGTAACCTCCCCTTTTGTATGAATTATGTACGAAGGGAGGGTGACCCGCTGTTGGTAACCCCCTTATATATGAATTATGTATGAAGGGAGAGAGTATCCGCCGCTGGTAATCCCCCTATGTATGAAGGGAGGGTGTATCCGCTGTTGATAATTCCCTTTATGAATAAAGGGAGTACACGCTGCTGCCAATCCCCCACTCCTTTATATATGAAGGGTGTATGCGCGGTTAGTAATCCCCCTCAGTGTATGAAGGAAGGGTGTATGCGCGGTTAGTAATCCCCCTCAGTGTATGAAGGAAGAGTGTATCCGCGGTTAGTAATCCCCCTCAGTGTATGAAGGAAGAGTGTATCCGCGGTTAGTAATCCCCCTCAGTGTATGAAGGAAGAGTGTATCCGCGGTTAGTAATCCCCCTCAGTGTATGAAGGAAGAGTGTATCCGCGGTTAGTAATCCCCATCAGTGTATGAAAGAAGGGAGCTGAAAAGTCAGGGACCTTAAATAAACTTCCATAACTTACTATAATTCTCTATTATTTTCATGGCTTTGATTACGTTGGCCTTTTGTGTTCTCTAAAGGTCTGGTAGCCCGGCATTTCTGTTTCAAGACCTTTTACCTGCTCCTTCCGGTGTCTATGACCAGATCTTATTGCTTTGTATAACGCTCTTGACTATAATTCTTTGTTTCTTTCTATATCAAAACTCATAAAGAAACGTAGTTTTGCTGTGCAGTTTATCAAGTTCTCGATAAAGCGCTAAACTGTGCGAAACGCTTACTCAAAAAATATTCCGAAACAGGCTTGTATTAGAGGCCAGACAGGTATGACTATCATGCTGCATGACTATCATACTGGTGTTAGAAGCCAGACATGACTAACATGCTGGTGTTAGAAGCCAGACACGGGTATGCCAAAATTATAAACCGAGCCTCGGGGTCCTTCACACAACACAAGAATGAATCAACACGGCTGTTTCATTCTGATTGTTTCACTCTCTGATCTTTACTAATCTTCTTTGTACTGAAGCCACTGTGTAGCGAAACGTTTCTACAATCAAGATACCCAAGTGCTGCACATGTGTCTAAATTATCAACACCAGTGTGCTAGGCAGGTCCAACTCACACCCACTCATGTATGTACCCGTCCAAGCTATATTTAAAGCTAACCAAAGTCCTCGCCTCAGTGACGCTACCTGGCAGTTTGTTCCACTCATCTACAACTCTATTGCAAAACCAATACTTCCCCATTTCCTTTCTCGATATAAATTTCTCCAACTTGAATCTATGGATGTTTTCGTTTGATATTTTCAACACGTTATTTATATCCCTTTTATTCCATTTGTACACATTCATATTTACCTTAATTCTACGTCTTTCCAGAGAGTGCAAGTTCAATGCCTTCAGTCTATTGTCGTTGAAAGGTTTCCAATGCCTTCAGTCTATTGTCGTTGAAAGGTTTCTAACACACTGAATCAACGTATATTTTCAACGTATTTATGTCCATCATGCTTAACAATTCGCAAACAGGAGAAATTTTTTACGAACATTATCTCTACATCCATAGCAGGAATCGAACCTGCAAACTCTGCATCAGAGTACACGGTACTTTATACATGACGCTAGACCCCAGTTTTTCTGGGGTCTGGCTTCTTGGATAAAGTACTGTGTATTTTGATGCAGAGTTTGCAGGTTCGAGTCCTGCCATGTCCATCATGTAATATGGAGACCAGAACTGAGCAGCATTATCTAAATGAACCATAACCATAGATAAATAAAGCTGACTTTTAATATTTATGCTTCTTTATATGAAGCCAAGAATTCTATTTGCTGTACTGCAAACATTTACGCACTGTTGTCTTGACTTTAAATTTATGCTAACCAGAATTCATAAATGCATTTTTCTTCTTGGTTTTTGCTTTAGCTGTTTCAACATGGAAGTTACTAGCACCACGAACTGTCGTCAAGAACACCGTGGACACGACAAACCAGCAGTAAAGCCTGAGACAAGCCAGGCACCAGATCAGGGGTCCACTTGCAGACGCTCTCCTACACTGTCCTCCAAATGAATGATATAGTTGGTGAGTTGGCAAGAACGTGTGGCCTCAAGGAGGGAGTGTATAATAACTTGGCGTTAGACACTGGCAATCTAAAGATAATACGGAAAAAACTTCAACCGAACTTTTTAAGACATGACACGGGGGAACATAAAGGCACAATACCGTGATTGGAACAATACACAGATAACTGGCACATAGGAAAGAGAAAAACGGTGTGACTTTGTAAATGGTCCAAGTCGGACCGAAACTTCGTCGTAAGCTTTTTTTCTCTCGTATATGCGGATTATTTGTGTATTGGCACAAGGGAAAACTGACACTAGTCAATCCATCTATCGCCATTCATACAGGGAGTGGGCAAATTTAGATTTAGAAAGGCTGTAGGGAAGAACTGATTTGGCAAGAGAATTGTGGGTAGACAAAGATGCAACTTATGTGACACTTTACTGTGGCAACATTTCGCTCTCTGTGTCCATTTACCTAACATTCTGTCGATAATTATACCTTTATTACAAAGGGAATTGTAGACAATTGGTACAAACTCCCAGGCAGCTTCATTCAAGAGAGAACGTTGGGCAGCTGTAAATATAGGCTGGACGGATGTACAAGTGGGTGTTGAGTTGAACCTGCCTACCATGGACCAAGAGACCTACTGCAGTACCTTTAATGGGGTTCGAGAGATTTTTTTTACTCTTAAGAGCCCGGCCATAGGCCAAGCTTGTCTAGTGCGTACCTGATCAATGATCAACCAGGCTGTGTTCCTTCATTATAATGTTCTCACAATCTCCACAGCTCGACCTTGGCTAGGATACACTCAAGACATGGATAAACACTAAAGATGCCAACGGTGGATCACAAGAGGAAGAGAGGAGAAACTATAACGACATATAAGGTGAATATGGAAGCACTTGACTTGTACTCGTTGGAACGCAGGAGAGAGAGATATATCATAATCTACACTTGGAAAATCTTGGAAGGAATGGTCCCAAATCTGCACACAGAAATCACTCCCTACGAAAGTAAAAGACTGGGCAGGCGATGCAAAATGCCCCCAATAAAAAGTAGGGGCGCCATTGGTACACTAAAGGAAAACACCATAAGTGTCCGGGGCCCAAAACTGTTCAACAGCCTCCCATCAAGCATTAGGGGAATTGCCAATAAACCCCTGGCTGCCTTCAAGAGAGAGCTGGACAGATACCTAAAGTCAGTGCCGGATCAGCCGGGCTGTGGCTCGTACGTTGGACTGCGTGCGGCCAGCAGTAA